AAATCTCTTCATATAAACAAACTAAGGCTTTGTCTGTGCTCTTTCCATTTAAAATTAGAGGCAACCCACCACTGCATTTGAATCATGATCCAAACAAAGGTGCTGCATACATGCAACATGAGCAGTTTTAAATCTAAATTAAATTGTATAATTTCGAAATTTGAAGCAAAAACAGAATGGTTTGACTTCAGTTTTGTGTAACTATACAAACATATCTGCATGAAACAGCGGATGAGCTGAATGAGACGCAGATTCATGCTCTGCCAGCAGGTGGCGCTTAAACCGTTTCCTTGGTTTCCGCTGCAAATAAAGCAGCGCTGCACTTATGAACTTTAATATGCATTATACAGAGGCAAGATGAATAGAAAAAATACCATCTAAATTTTTCTAAAGACAGTAAGTTCCCCTCAGACATGCATTCATATAAACTCCTACCCCTAAATGAATCGCGATTTGTTTAGCATCTCAACCGATTTGAATCGTCACATATTTAAATCGATTTTCAACTGGCTTAATTTTAAGTTAATCGTTACATCCCTATAATTAAGAGATGAGACGGTAATACTAACCGTGGGGAATTGTATCATGATTTATCGTCAAACCGGTAATCGTTACATCCCTATAATTAAGAGATGAGACGGTAATACTAACCGTGGGGAATTGTATCATGATTTATCGTCAAACCGGTAATCGTTACATCCCTAACTGTCACTTTTGATTACTTGAATGCATTCTTGCCAAATAAAAATATTTAATTAAAAAAAAAACCTAGCCCCCAACTTATGAATGGTAGTGTAACTGGTTGATGTTTTCCATGTAACTAAAATAATTGGTTGATGTTTTCCATGTAACTAAAATAAAAGGGGAGTGGAAACTGGAGCTTTCAAGAGGACACAAAATCAAGATCATATTTTTGAGTCATGAGCTAAACTTCAGAACTCAATCATTTAGACCAAATCACTGGGGAAAAAATCATTCATAAATCAAATCGCTAAGTAGAGCAATGATAGAGGTAAAAAATTTCAGTGAACAACTTATGTTATTCTGGATTTTGACAGCCCCAGTTCACTTTTATTACGTTGTGTTAAGTTCTCCATGGAAGAAAGACGGTCATAAGGATCTGGAATAAAATAAGGATGAGTAGGATGTTCATTTTTGGGTGAACTACTCCTTTAAGAAGAGAAAGAACATCATAATGACTCTGCTCTACAAATTTAGATGGGATGACAAGCAAGCTCTGGCTCAACCCAACTCAAGCGCTCCATTACATCGTTACCCATCACATGGGCCTCACAAATAGCAGTATGGGCTGGGCCCCGTCGCAGAACTATTTTAAAGAAGTGTGTTTGCTATGGCTTAAAGACGGAGCACTAGGGACAAACAGCCGACGGGACCAGTGTGTAGACTATCCAAAGTTCAACCTGCAAAATCATGCACTGCTCTTGACTAAACAACTTGTGTAGCTTTAATAAGGATCCATCTATATAATTTACACAGTACTATGCAGTGTTTTTATATTTAATTTGATTCTATTTCTGTATTCGATTTCTCACCTGAATAATACTGTTATATATGTACCATTGTATGCATCTGTGCTTTTTCTTGTAATTTGTTTATTTGTTCTTAGTTTATTGCTGACTGTTTACTTGTCTTATATAATGTTTGAAGTTTCTATTAAGCTAGTAGTTATTGCTGTGGTATTGAAATTTAGATTCAATAAATTCACTATTATGTACAATTTTGGTGTTGTTACAACCTTATTCATTAGAATTCAGGGTTGCACAGGTCAAAAACAACAAATATAACTTTTTGTGATTATTTTGGAAGAGCAAATAAAAATCTGAAACACTGGCCTGTCCAGACCAAAAAAATCCCAAGAAAAAAATCCTAAGCATTGAGCCGAGTGTAAAAGTAATTAATCTTTTCAGTATCAATTTTACACCATGGAAAGCAAAGAGAAGCCTAACTTGCAGACTAAACTGACCATGGTTTTAGAAATTGCAAACTGAAATGCCACAGTGTGTGAAATCCACTAAATTGTCATGGAAAAGCTGTCAGATATCTCATTAATTACCACTGTGATGATTTGTTGAAATAGTAGCCCATAAGACCGGAAAAACCAAGTCAGCAGCAGTCAGATTCTGACCATCCTGTCTGTATAGTTCCTGTCCCAACCTTAAAACAGCCCATTCAATAATATTCCCTAAAACTGAGGGTCCAGGTAATATTTAAACGTATCATGAGTGAGGTTTTATTGCTTCTGACAGCATAACCATCTTCTCACAAGAAACAGCCTTTGAGTAAACATCTGATAAATGGACTTAAAACAGAAACTATCAGCTATCAGGGTTGGTCACATGTTACAGCTGAGTAGTGAACTCACTGAAATTGGAGGCGAGTAATTGTTTAGTCTGTCTAAACCCAGTCAGCTATCTACCTAAATAGCATTTATGGCCATCGTTTATGTGCATAAAGACAGTTAACTGGGTTCTTCAACGTATAATGTCGGAGCATTTCCTCTTCATACACTGTGTAGAGTCAAACATGAGACGATTTCACAATCTCTGGCTGAACATGACCAAGCGTTTGCACCGGCAAAGACTAAAAACCTCCTTCCACCTCAGTCAACTCCCAATAAATCTCACAAGCGCCTGTTATAAAGGCGTTTTAGCTGTTCTCAGGTTCACTGGTAAACACATATGTCGAGTACAGCAATGTGCTAGGCTAACTGGCCCTTCACACTCATGCTTTAACTGACATGATGTAGCTTCTCTCGGTTTTCAGCTACAAATTTTGTCCCCAAAGACCGCAAACAGGGCTAACGCGTCAAAAAACAGCATAGGTTGGATACTTACCCATCGTATTTTCTTTGCTGATATACGCTTTGATTACTGGTTATATCAACGTTGTAATCTTAACACTCTCCTCGTCTTCCAGAATTTGCTCCTCACAAACAATATGTCGGTGATCTACGGAGAGCCGAAGGAGACAAACTTAATGACAGCGTTTCCAATTTCTGTTCTACGAAACGCTGAGCAAACGAGCAAAATGCGAGCGTATCGTCATCAGGATGTGTTAGAAGTTCTTCTTCTTCTTTTGGTTTTATGGCGGGTTGCGAACCAACTAAAACGCTGAGCAAACGAGCAAAATGCGAGCGTATCGTCATCAGGATGTGTCAGAAGTTCTTCTTCTTCTTTTAGTTTTATGGCGGGTTGCGAACCAACTTCATAGGTGCATACCGCCACCTACTGTGATGGAGTGTGAAGAGAATGTACTCACCTAAATCTTAAATTCTGTTCATTATTCCACAATTCTTAAGAAATCTCATGACTGCACTTATTTGTTTTCCTGCATTTGGACCATCATTCAGGATACTACTTAATGAAAATTCTTTAACTCCTAAGGATTGTAATTCATCTTTAAGTCGATCCCTTTCTCTTTCATATGCTGTACATATCATCATAACGTGTTCCACTGATTCCTCTGTTAAACAAATATTACATAGACCAGTATTATGTTTCCCTATAACGTATAGTGTTTGGTTAAGATTTGAATGTCCTGTTCGTATATGTGTTAAAATGACTTGTTCCCTTCTACTTATGTTATGAATGATTTTTCTTCTCTTTATACTCCTTTGTACTTTGTGATAATGCCTACCTGTTTGACATGAGTCCCAGTATATCTGCCATACAATATTGCATGCATTTTTCGCCATGACGCCCAAAGACTCCTCGTGTCAGAAGTTATCACTGTTATATCGTTATAATATTTTTAATCTCTAACGTCTTAGTGAATTACTACATAATTACGCAATTACATAATATGATAAATATACATTTCTCCCTAAAATAGGCCTATTCCATGTACAATTTTGCTAAATAGGCTACGCTTGTCCGTACACAAAGTACAAATACTGTAAACAAAAATTGGCAGAAGCAAATATTGTTTTTACTATTCTGTGCATATTAACACAAACAATACCAAGAGAAATGTTCAATTATTAAATACTAAGAAAACGTAAACATAAAAAGGTGCATAAGGAAGTAGGCTAGCCTATAATAATAAT